GGACACCTGGCACAGGAGGCCTCGGGGGCACGGGCCGGGGACGCCCGGGACACCTGGCTAGCGGGACGCCCGGGGCACTGGCTGTGGTGTCCTGAGAGAAACAAGTCCTGGGAGGAGGAGAAGGAGGAGGAGGAGGAGGAGGAGGAGGAGGGAGGAGGAGGAGGGAGGAGGAGCATGATGATGATGATGATGATGATGATGATGATGATGATGATGATGATGATGATGATGATGATGCTGATTGATGATGATGATGATGATGATGATGATGATGATGATGATGATGATGATGATGATGATGATGATGATGATGATGATGATGATGATGATGATGATGATGATGATGATGATGATGATGATAAGAACGAAGGTGATGATGATGAGGACGAGAGGCGGAGGAGGAGGAGGGAAGATGACGAGGAGGAGAGGGCGGAGGGAGGAGGAGGAGGACGAGCAGGAGGAGGAGACCCGGGGGCCTTCCCCCAGGAGCACTGCTTTCATCCTGAATCGCTTTCGTAAGGTCCCTGGGGCCCGTCGAGGGCCTCATGGGAGCCACGCCCTTTCCATGGCAGGGCCCTCGAAACCCGAGAGGCCCAGGGCACCCCTGGCCTTCGCTCGGACGTCCATTCCCTGTGTTTTTTTTTTTTTTTTTCGGTTTCGTGCGTGGTTTTTTCGCCAAATGGTCAAGGATGTTCCTCGATGGTCCTCGCCGAAGGAAAAATGCACACGTCCGGGCGATGCCAAGACCCTGGAGGCACGCAGGGTGCTCCTTGGCCTGGGTCTCCGCTGCGTGCACGCCAGCGCGTGCCGCCGAGGCAGCGCGGCGGCGCACGCAAAACGGGGGGTGGGTGCGCGCGAGGCGCGCGGGCGGGTGGCCCTCTCGGGACGCAGACCCCCTCGCGCTGAAAAAAAATTAGCCTGGCGAAGGACCCAACCATATGCCAGTCGTGGTCCCCGCCGATTGTGAATATCTTTCTTCGGCGGCAACACCATTATGGGGCCACGAAACGTGTGAGGGGTGTGCCGAATTGGGTGTGCGGGACGCATGCGGGCGGCAGCACTGGGGCCTTCGGTGGGGCTCCCTATGGGGGCCCCCCCACCAAACGCGTGGAGGGGTGGTGCCGATCGCTCTGGTGTGGGAGACGGCTGCGGACGGCAGCCCTGAGGGCCTTCGGTGGAGCTCCCTATGGGGCCACGAGCCGTGCGAAGGTTGTGCCGAATTGAATGTAGGGACTCATGCGGGCGGCATCACTGGTTCTTCGGTGGAGCTCCTATTTGGGGCCATGAAACGTGTGAGGGGGTGGGGGGCGCAATGGGTGTATGGACGCATGCGGGCGGCAGCACTGGGGCCTTCGGTGGAGCTCCCTAGTAGCCCCGCTGCGTGTGAGGGGTGTGCCGAGCCCTGGGTAGGGGATCGCATGCGGGCGGCAGCCATGGGGGGGCCCTTCGGGTGGAGCTCCCTATGGGGCAGCAAACGTGTGAGGGGTGTGCCGAAAATGGGTTGTAGGGGACGCACAGGCGGGGGCGGGCAGCCCTGGGGCCTTCGGTGGAGCTCCCTATGAGCCCGAACGTGTGAGGGGGTGTGCCGAAATGGGTGTAGGGGACGCATGCGGGCGGCAGCACTGGGGCCTTCGGTGGAGCTCCCTATGGGGCCACAAAACGCGTGAGGGGTGTGCCGAAATGGGTGCAGGGGACGCATGCGGGCGGCAGCCCTGGGGCCTTCGGTGGAGCTCCCTATGGGGCCACGAAACGTGTGAGGGGTGTGCCGAAATTGATGTAGGGGACGCATGCGGGCGGCAGCACTGGGGCCTTCGGTGGAGCTCCCTATGGAGCCACGAAACGTGTGAGGGGTGTGCCGAAATGGGTGTAGGGGACGCATGCGGGCGGCAGCACTGGGGCCTTCGGTGGAGCTCCCTACGGGGCCACGAAGCGTGCGAAGGGTGTGCCGAAATGGGTGTAGGGGACGCATGCGGGCGGCAGCCCTGGGGCCTTCGGTGGAGCTCCCTATGGGGCCACGAAGCGTGTGAGGGGTGTGCCGAAATGGGTGTAGGGGACGCATGCGGGCGGCAGCCCTGGGGCCTTCGGTGGAGCTCCCTATGGGGCCAGGAACGTGTGAGGGGTGTGCCGCCGAAATGGGTGTAGGGGACGCATGCGGGCGGCAGCACTGGGCCTTCGGCGCACTCCCTATGGGGCCAAGAAACGTGTGAGGGGTGTGGCCGAATTGACGGTGTGGGTGAGGATGATGATGATCATGGTGATGACGATGACGATGACGATGATGACGATGAGATGATGATTATGATAATGATTGATGAATGATGATGATGATGATGATGATGATGATGATGATGATGATGATGATGATGATGATGATGATGATGATGATGGGAGGGGGGAGGAGGCGGAGGAGGAGGGAGGAGGAAGGAGAGGAACGCGGGGCACCGTCTCTTCAAAACGAGGACCAAACACCACAGGATGGTTGGGAAAAACAGAACAATGATCCTGGCGAAGGTCCCAACCATATGCAGTTGTGGGTACCGTAATTGTGAAGATCTGCTTCGGTGAAGCTCCCTATGGGGCCACGAAGCGCTGCACTGGGCGGGGGGGAACGCTGTACTGTGTGGGTGGTGTGCCGACTTGGGTTTCCGGGACGCATGCGGACGGTCCCACTGAGGGCTTCGGTGGAGCTCCCTATGGGGCCACGAAGCGCTCTACTGAGTGAGTGATAATGCCAAATTGGGTTACTGGGACGCATACGGACGGTCCCACTGGGGGCTTCGGTGGAGCCCCCTATGGGGCCACGAAGCGCTGCACTGCGCGGGTGAAAATGCCAAATTAAATTTCCCGGACGCATGCGGACGGTGGCACTGGGGCCTTGGATGGAGCCCCCTATGGGGCCACGAAGCGCTGCACTGCGCGGGCCACGAAGCGCTGCACTGGGTGGGTGAAAATGCCAAATTGGGCTTCCGGGGCGCATGCGGACGGGGGCACTGGGGCCTTCGGTGGAGCCCCCTATGGGGCCACGAAACGCTGTACTGCGTGGGTGAAACGCAGGGAGGAGGGAGGAGGGCCACGAAACGCTGTACTGGGTGTGCGGGGCGCATGCGGACGGTAGCGCTGGGGCCTTCGGTGGGGCTCCCTATGGGGCCACGAAGCGCTGTACTGGGTGTGCGGGACGCATGCGGAGGGTAGCACTGGGACCTTCGGTGGGGCTCCCTATGGGGCCACGAAGCGCTGTACTGGGTGGGTGAAACGCAGGGAGGAGGGGGAGGAGGGCCACGAAACGCTGTACTGGGTGTGCGGGACGCATGCGGACGGTAGCACTGGGACCTTCGGTGGAGCTCCCTGTGGGTCCACGAAACGCTGTACTGGGTGTGCGGGACGCATGCGGACGGTAGCACTGGGACCTTCGGAGGGGCTCCCTATGGGGCCACGAAACGCTGTACGGACGCATGCGGACGGTAGCACTGGGACCTTCGGTGGGGCTCTCTATGGGTCCACGAGACGCTGTACTGGGTGGGTGAAACGCAGGGAGGAGGGGGAGGAGGGCCACGAAACGCTGTACTGGGTGTGCGGGACGCATGCGGACGGTAGCGCTGGGACCTTCGGTGGAGCTCCGTATGGGGCCACGAAACGCTGTACTGGGTGTGCGGGACGCATGCGGAGGGTAGCACTGGGACCTTCGGTGGGGCGCTGTACTGGGTGTGCGGGACGCATGCGGACGGTAGGGAGGAGGGGGGGAGGAAGAGAGGAGGAGAACGAGGGGACCGTCTCTTCAAAACGAGGACCCAACACCACAGCACGGTTGGGAAAAACATGACTGGAGGCTCTGCGCTCTTCTCGACTATACACTTAGGTCGGGCTTGTCCCGCTACAGGCGGGTGGTGGACGAAAAATAAAACAAATACCCCAACCATACACCAAACATACACCAGAAATGCACCACACACATCGTCCCCATGCTATGTTCTTACTATTTTTGAAAATTCCCCTGGTAGAGGGACGGGCCCGACTTAACACTACGTGAAGGAGGGACCCTAGGCAAGGGGTGCGCGGCTTTTGGGGGGCCGCGGGGGGGCCAAACCCAAGCGCGCAAGACGCTACCATCGCATGCGACATTCCACGACCGGAGGACCGCACCAAAGGTCACCCCGGCGAAAGGTCACCCTTGCGTCTGGTTGATAGTTTCGGCCTCCGGGGGCCCTTCCCGGGCCTCGGGGCCGTCAAAAAAAGACTCAAGGCGAAAAGCCGGTCCCGGCGAAGGGGTCCAGACCTCTGGGAGTCGACGCTGCGAAAAAATCACGACGTCGGGGGTCTGGGAACGTGGGCGGGCTCGCAAAAGCCATCGGCGGCGAGCGAGGGATGGGGGGGAGCGATACGGAGCAGGCCCTCTCAGAAGGGGCGGGGCTTCTCAGAAGCAGCGCTTGCGCCTTCCGAGAAGCTGTCTCTGTCTCCCGGGAAGGCTTAGAACAAACTTCTCGGATCGCCTCGAAGGACCTCCGGGCCTTCCGAGAAGGCCTTCTCCTTCCCACCTCCCCTCCGGGCATGCCGCCGAAACCAAGAGCCTTCTTCCCAAAGATCCGACGCTCCACAGAGAATCGGAGCGGCGGAATTTTGGGCCGCTTCGGCCTCCTGGGGCACTCGCCGGGCCTCGGGGCCGTCAAACAACGACGCGGGGCGAAGAACTGGCCCTGGGAAAGTGGTCCAGACCTCCAGGGCCCACGCATCGAAAACACTTGAGCAGGCCAGATGTCTGGGCTGGAAGGGCCCAGGGGCTGTCTCAGGTGGCTTCTTGGACGCCCGGAGGGCCTCTTGGAAGCACCACCCATCTTGGCGGCGCGCAGAGGGGAGTAGGGGGGAGGGGGGAAGGCTTCTTGGAAGGAGGCTGCTTCTTAGAAGCCGCGGGCCTTACATTTACAGGGGTGCTTCTAAGAAGCAGAGGTGCTTCCAAGAAGCCTCCCTGGGGACCTGGCAATGGGCACCAGCCCCAACACAGGGGGTCGCCTCCTCAGGGGGAAGATGATCCTGGATTCCGGAATCGGTGGTGATGCTTCGGCTGGCTTGGAAGCCGAGATCGGGATCTCTTCTTCCCTCGGTGGAGGCACACCGCCGATAATTGGTGTTGGTGTCCACCTCTACAGTCGGGCCGCTGAAAGAAGGAACGCCAAATAAGGAACGAAGCCCCATTTCGGCCCGAAAGGCGCCGCCGTGCCCGAGGAGGGCAGGAGGAACCGCGATGGAGGAGCCTCAGGGACATCGAGCCCCTTCCAACTTGTTTCTTATTTCGACGTCTTGACTGCAGGCCCGCGACCTTCCCCCCTCCCCCCTTGTGGACTCAGCATATGGATCAATTTAACGACTCTGTTTTCTTACGTTTTCTTTACCTGTAATCCACAACAGAAGAGATCCTCACCACCTAACGCTATCGCAAGAAGCAGAATACAAAGTTTCAAGCAAAGCAAAAGGCATGAAAGGGAAAAACCGAAAACAACTCATCGTTAAACAGAACCAGATTTTGACCTTCCCCCTCCCCCCCCTTGCCCCCCCCCCCCTGCGCGCCGCCAGCCCTGGCCGTCCCAGCCGCCCTCGGCCTCATCGCGGCCGGCCGCCCCTCCCTGGCGCCCCCCCCCCAGAGCGCACGCGCCGCCGGGGCTCGCGGCCGACGCCGCACCGAGGAGCCGCCAGCGCTCGGACGTCCATTCCCCGTGCTTTTGTTCGGTATCGTGCGTGGCTTTCTCGCCCAGTGATCAAGGATGCTCCTCGATGGTCCTCGCCGAAGGAAGAGAAAGCACACGTCCGAGCGATGCCAAGAGGAGCAGGCAGGTCGCGGGGAGGGCCACGCGCAGGAGCGACCCTTGCGCGCCACGGAGGAGGAGGAGGAGGAGGAGGAGGAGGAGGAGGAGGAGGAGGAGGAAAGAGGAGGAGAGAGGAGGAGAAGGAAGAGGAGGCGGAGGGAGGCGGTGGAGGAGGGAGGAGGAGGAGGAGGAGGAGGAGGAGGAGGGAGGAGGGAGGAGGAAGAGAGGAGGAGGAGGAGGAGGAGGAAGAGGAGGAGGGGAGGAGGAGGAGGGAGGAGGAAGAGAGGAGGAGGAGGAGGAGGAGGAGGAGGAGGAGGAAGAGGAGGAGGCTGACTATGCACCAGGAGCAGACCAAAACGTTGAAGGGCCGGCCACGCGCAGGAGCGGAAAGGTCCCATGAATGAGCGGCCTCTGGTGCGCGGCTGCAGGGGGGCCGCGGAGGGGCCCACCCCTCTCCTCCTCCCCCTCCTCCTCCTCCCCTCCTCCTCCTCAACCTCCTCCTCCTCCTCCTCCTCCTCCTCCTCCTCCTCCTCAACCTCCTCCGCAGCCATTCTGGCTCAAGCCATTTTGGCTCAAGAGGGGGCGCAGCGCGAGGGCGCCTTGCGTGCGTGGTGCTGAAGGCCAAGACCCTTCAGATCTGCGTGGGCAACGGGCGCGCCGAGGGAGGCGACGTTGGCCGCGTCATTGGCAAGCTGTTCAGGGACATCGAGCACGGCGCCGAGCGGTCGCTGGACCGGCAGGTGGTGCTGTGTGCAGATGTCCAGGTCCAAGGCTGTGAGTATCCGCCCGCCCTCCACGGATGCGAGGGCATGGGTGGCGAAGGGCAGGGAGGTCAAGCATCGTGGGCAGAGCCTGAAGGACCTCGGCCTGGACTTTGGGCCGGTGCCCAAGTCGACGGTGTTGGTGGAGACCGTGATGGTGCCTCCCAAGTTGGACCTGAGCTACGGGACGCCCATTCGCATCAAGTCCAGGGGTATCGAGATGATGGACCTGAGCTACGGGCCGCTCAAGAACAAGGACACGTCGAAGCTCAAGGCGGAGATCACGCCTCCGAAGGCGCGGCCGCGGGCGAGCTGGCGTGTGGAGACCTCGGGCAGGCAAGTGCGCCCGTCGAGGGGCCCCTCGGCAGCGGCGCAGGTGGCAGCAAAGTGGCAAAAGCGAGGCTGGATCCGGGGGCCTTCTGGCGCATGGGTCCCGACGGAGCGGCTGGGCCAGGCCAAGAAACCGCAGCGGTTGAACCCGAAGCGCCGGAAGAAGGTCAAGGACCAGCCCAAGGCAAAGCAGGTGGAGCTGAAGACTTTCAAAGGTGCGCACCTGGGGCTCGCCTCGGCACTCGCGAAGAGGCTCTTGGCAAGGAAGCTCTGGGAGATCAAGAAGGCGCAGCGGGTCACCGAGAGGGCGGAATCGGACCTCTAGGCGAAGCTGCTGTACCTGAGCACCCTCACGCAGCAGCAGAGCGAGCAGTACGTGGCTTTGCAGGTGCAGCAGAGCGTGCAGCCGCACCAGAGCAGGGTCAAGACAAGGAAGTTTCAGGAGGCCGTGGCGTGCCATGACATGGGAAGGGAGACCGTCCACCAGAGCACTTCTTCATCGGCGACGGCGGCAAGGAGAAGAATAATAATAATTACAAAAGGAAAGGGGGGCAGAAGGACCTGGGGCCGAATCCTCAGGGTGGCTTTGAGAGCAACCTCGGCGGCGACGGCGCATCGACAAAGTGCGGGCCGTCAACGTCGAGGGCTGGGCCACGAGAGCATCGAGGATGGCGACGTGCTGGTGCTGGGCCATATGCCCTCCCTGCTCAACGACGTGCGCAGTTTCGGCCTGCGCGAGGGCGCCGAGGTGCAGCGCGTCGAGCAGACGCCGAAGCAGACGCGCCTGGAGAAGACGAAGGACTCCAAAGGCTTGCGGGGCCCGCCGCTGGTCTCCGAGGCGGGCTGCAGGGCGGGGAAGGAGCGGCAGAGGCAGGGCCAGGAAGGCCGAGGGGGGGCGTCCTGGGGGGGGGGGGCTGGCCAGCGGCGGGGGGCCCCGGCCCCCGTTTTCGGCTGGCTGCCTTTGGCCTCTGGTTTGGCGTTCGTCGGTCCCCCTTGCCCCTGGTGGGCCTGCCGCTCGCTGCTGACCCCCCCCCCAAGGGGCGCGGGTCGGCGGCGCGGCGCCGGAGGCGCGGAGGTCTGCGGAGAGGGCCCCCCCCCCCCCCCCCCCCCCCTAGGGCCCATGTAGTCACACAGTCGCACAGTCCTCCTCAACCTCCTCCTCCTCCTCCTCCTCCTCCTCCTCCTCCTCCTCCTCCTCCTCCTCCTGCTCCGCCAGGAGCTCCTCCAGCTGCTCCTCCAGCTCCTCCTCCTCCTCCTCCTCCTCCTCCTCCTCCTCCTCAGCGTCAGCGTCAGCGTCAGCGTCAGCGTCATCGTCATCGTCATCGTCATCATCATCATCATCATCATCATCATCATCATCATCATCATCATCATCATCATCATCATCAGCATCATCAGCATCATCATCAACATCATCATCATCATCATCACCTTCATCATCGTCATAATCATACTCATAATCATCATCAGCATCACCAGCAGCATCAGCATCACCACCACCACCATCATCATCGTAATCATCATCATCACCATCATCATCATCATCATGTTCATCATCATCACCACCACCATCATCATCAGCATCAACATCATCATTATCATCATAATACTAATCAGAATCATTATCATCATCATCAGCCGCATGAACATCATCACCATCATAATCATAATCATAATCATAATCATCCTCATCATCATCATCATCACGATCATCATCATCATCATCATCATCATCATCATCATCATCATCGTCATCATCATCATCATCATCATCATCATCATCATTTCTCATCCTCATCCTCACCATCATCATCCTCATCCTCATCCTCCTCCTCCTCATCATCATCATCAGCATCAGCATCAACATCAGCATCAGCACCATCCTCCTCCTCCTCCTCCTCCTCCTCCTCCTCCTCCTCCTCCTCTTCCTCAACCTCCGCCTCCTCCTCCTCCTCCCGCCCGAGCGCTCAGGCCATCATACTAGGCAGACCCCCGTGGGCCCGCACCAGAGGTGGCCCTGGCAGCGCGTCGTTCCCACGCGTGGCGGAAGAGGTCAGGGGCCTCCTGTGATCTCACACGATCTCGCCTGGACCCTGGCTGGGCCCTGGCCGCCTCGAGAGCTCCTCTACCCGGTCGTGCAACATCTTCAATGCCACCATGATCTGCGACGAGGTGTCCACTTCCAACGCGGAGTCCGAGGCCCGCCCCCTCAAGTTCCTGCGGTACGAGAGTGCGGATTCCGCGCGGGTGCTTGCGAACTGGGCTGACAGGAGCCGCCGTGGCGAAGCATCGCCGTCGATCTCGGCGTCGTCGTCGTCGTCGCTGGCCTCTAGCCTGGGGGTCGTCTCGCCCGCGAGCCTCGCGGACCCTGGCGCCTCCGCGTGGCCGCTGTCCGACCTGGGGTCCTCCCGCCGCGGTGTGCACATCCAGAGGTAGTTCTGCTCGATCCACCACTTGAGCTCCGGGGTCGCGTTCGCGGGCTTGACGGGCGTCTGGAGGAGCAGCACAAACAGCGTCAGTAGCATCTCGGCGGCCCCCCCGTACATCAGCAGAATAATCATCATCCTGACCTCCGTCACCAGAAGGACTGCGGCTGTGGAGACCACCAGGAAGGAGAATATGGCGAACAGGGCCTTGTTCGCGTTCAGCCCGAGCCAGTTGCAGAACACAGTCAGCAAGACTCTTCGCTTCCACATCGTCACGCGGCATACCACGGCTTGTGTCCTCAAGAGCCGGCCACGTGCCTTCACACCCATCCCACGGTAGGCTTCCATTGTCATGGCCATCAGCACGTTCATCAACACGATGGTGATGGCCAAATGGACAATGCTGATCATGACATACTGGGACCACGGGTAGTCGAACTCGTTGGGGACCTCCCCCATGAGTAGCACGGGCTCCCCTATGACGAGGTTGATCCATGTGTTCATTGCCGCTCCTCTGATCTGACTTGCTGAGCCCTCCTTCCAAACGATAAAGACGAACGCCATGACAACCAGTACAGTAAGGATCAACACGACCAGCATCGCAAGTATGAGGGGCTCCCAGAAGACGTCCCTGATAGGGATGAGCAACTGCCCGATCACGCTCGTCGTGTGCAACCTGCTTATGATGGCACACCATTTCCACACAAGTGCGACGCCCAACCAGAACAGATATGCCTCTTTATCCAGGACGTCGTCAATGACTGCGAGTGTCCACCCCGTCCCGAACAGGTAGCACGACAGGACGTGGCCGGGAACGGCCGGCCAGTTGAAGACATCGCCCGAGCTTGTCAGGGCACGGTCGCTTGGGTCGAGGAACAGAAGATATGCCACGTTCAGGCCGAAGATGCCTGGAGATCGCATCAAAACTGCACGAGCGGCGCCCGAGTCGGCGCTGTGCCCCCTCCCCCCCGCCTTACACCCCGCATGCCCCCCGTCGCAGAGGGCGCCGGCACCCGGGGAGATCCAGCGTCGGGTCAGGTCTGGTCGGGTGTGCCTTGCACCAGACGGTGCGTCAGCAGGGTGAAAGACAAGAACACTAGGGCTCCCAACTTCGCGCTTCGCGCTGCGCGAGGCGCGAATAACTTCGCGCTCTCGCGCCGCCCCCCAAAAGGGAGAAAAGGAGGACGAGGAGGAGGGGGGGAAGGAACGAGGACCGCGAAGCGCGAAGCGCGAATAACTTCGCGCCCTCGTGGGAGCCCTTGGAACAAGAATCCGCACGGACCTCCCAGAGTGCACGCCACTGGCGGATGCAAAGCGGGATGTTGGGCACCTGTCGTCAGCGCCCTCTGCGCACCGCCGCCCCCTCCGCCGTCACGCACGCCCCCCGGGCGCGCGTCGACGCGCGTCGACATGCAGCACGCTCTGCGTGCCGACGGGCGTCGGCACGCCAGGCGTGCTGCGTCGCTGCGAGTCCAGATCATCATCGCCAAGCCCGGATGTATTCGCCGATGGCGTATCGGCGGGCCCAGAAGGGACACCAGAAGAATGCAGATATCGCTCACCACCGACAACGGTCGCTGTTGGGCAAGCGACTCTTCGTCTCATGTGGGCGACACCCGCGGCAACACCGACGACGAGCTGTGCTCCACGTGGAAGAGAACTACTGTTGGTCTTCGTCCCCGTTCTTTCCGTGTCGATCTAGATCGTGCCGACATGCCGATGCCGTTTTCGGGGATCTACTGACCCGGGTCAATCCAAACCCGGGTTAGTCAACCCTTGCAAGGCCCTGCAAGATCCTGCATGGTCCTGCAGGATCCTGCACGCTACCCTGGGTCAGTGCAACCCTGGCCCTGCAGTATCCTGCAAGACCCGTCGCTCTGGCTGACCCCTGTTTGCATTGAACCCCGTCTCAAGGCACCCGAGTTTTGGAAGTATCCTCGTGCATGCATCATGCATCAGCCGCCCCAGCGCGATGAAGCTGAACATCATCCAGCTTGCGGAGTGGAGCAGGTCCCCTTTGCCCTCCGAAAGCCCCCAGACGAGCACGGACACGAATTGGACAACCTCCTCTGCGAGCAGCGTGCAGTTGTAATTCCGCGCCCACTTGGTCCACGCATGGCTGGAAGCAGAAACAAAACTACATAGACATCAACATTCCAAGGTCTGCGCGGAGTTCTCGGACCGGCGCTGGACTCCCTGGTGGCGCCTCCAGCGCCACCCCTGGCGCGCTCCGCGCGCCAGGGAGGAGGGTCTGGTGCCGATGCAAGAAATACGAGCGGACCTCCAAATATTGATGTTTATATAAATATTTCCTCTTCGAATGGCTCACCACGGCCTGCATCGTAACACAATCCTCTAACAGATCCACCTGCTGGTTGTACTGCAGATCGCACAACGACCTGAAGAGGTCGAGCGTCAATATCCCCCGGAAGTGCACCACGGTGATGTCTGAGAACTGATTCCGCTGCGGCGGAGTCCATGGATTCCACCTTTCCATCCAGCTGCGTCGTGGTGCCACGTCGCAGGATGATGCGTCCATCAACTCGCCCCACACATCGGAAGCTGCTACGTGTTGGAATCCGGTGAGACGGCGTTGCCATAGAGACGATTGGAACGAGGCTTGATCAAAAGTCCATATTGAATTTGCGACGTATGCCGTATTCACATTTGTTCTCGGATTGATCAGCGCATGCGTGGCGAGCGGGTTGCGGTTTGCAGAAGCAACCTCGGGCTTCTGCCTGAAGAAATTGTCCAGGAGTATCGCTGCAGCCTGTGGAGCGTTCCGGACCAGATCAAAGACCATGCGCTTCGCCGCTCTCTCGGGATCAGTGGGGTCCTGCACTCGCATGTGCAGGGCCGAAGCCGCGTCGCACTGCTCGCCGCTGTGATCCTCGACGCACCCCTGCATGATCGTCTGCACCGCCCTCTGCAGTCTGTCCTTCACGTCGGGGTCGTCTTTCAGCGCACTCCATATGCTCTCCAGCAGCTCCGGGTGCGACAGGAGTATGGTGCGCCGCGGCATCCTCAGGAGCATCTCGGGGTTCGTCTTGGCAATCGTGTGGAAGACCTCTTCGAACTCTGCAGGACTCCCCAATGCCATGGCGGCGTTTAGCTCAGACTCGTCGATCCTGAAGCCATAGTGCATGAGCTCTGAGACACAATCCATGTGGTGATAGAGTGCCAATCCTAAGGCAGAACACCGCCTGCCATAGTTCTCCCGTGATGGAGGGGGGTAATCCGGATGCCAACCTTTCACCATGTGGGTGCTCTGCACCGTGTAATGCCTATCATCGCAGCCACTGCTATCCTCGCCATCCCGAACCCATCCACTATAGGGCGGCTGATGATACGGGTTCGACTTCCACCTCTTCACCCGCTCGAAAATCTGATCCGGCATCTTCTTGTGCACTTTACAACACTCCTCGGCACTGTAGAAACACTTCCTGTAGCGCTTGCGGTCCCGAATGTGCCAATTGTAGACGACGCAATAATCCGCGTAAGGCGCGGGCGGCTTCCTGCTCTTGGTCTCGACCGGGCACATAAGCCTGACCGCCTTGCACTTCCCGCTGGACTTGCACATCTCAGAATATTCTATTCTCCACACCTTCTCCCTCTCCGACTTGCTCTCGCAATATCTGCCACCGTGCCGCAGGCACGAGTTGGAGTGTCCTGAGGTCCCTTCAGCCCTACGTCCTCAGACCTGCGAGTGGATCTAGGGGCCGTGGCCCAACATTGCCAGATTCTCCAGGGCGTGCCGAATGTTGGTGCGTTTCCGTCGTGTTCCCGCATGACTTTTTTGGAGGCAAGAGGGCCCCAAGATGGGCCAAGAAGGCTCCAGGAGGCCCCCAAGACTGTCCAAGAGGGTCCTGAAACAGCCTGAGACCGTTCTAATGCGCCCAAGACGGCCTCCAGACGGCCCACGAGGCCCTCAAGACGGGCCCCAAGAAGCCAACATAACGTCTTACCCTAAGGTTTTCGAAGCATTTTAGCGTTCTCGCGTCTCCAGGCTTCCGACGACCTAGCTCAAGAGGTCCCCCGTCCCAAGACGGCCCAAGACGCCCCTTGAAAGCTCCTAGACGGCCCAAGAGGGCTCCAAGACGGCCCCAAGAGGGCTCAAAGAGAGCCCCAAGAAGGGGAACTCGAACTGACATTCCGGGCCCAAATCCGGCCCCAAGAGGTCCCCGAGAGGCTCCAAGCCACTGCCCCGAAGGAGCTTCCGAGAAGCCTCCCGCGAGATCCCCACAAGTACCCAAGAGGCATCTGACCTACAACCAAGGCGAAGTGGCGGGTTGGGCCGAAGGCCACTAGATATCTGGAAGCAGGATGCGTCACCACCCGCGCGGTCTGTTCGGTTGTGTTTGGCGTCCTTGATGCTGCTGCACTGCAAGACCCTTGGGAGCGCTACTTCGCGCGAGTCAACGTAAGCCACTTCGTACAAGTGCTTCCCGCCCCTGAGGCGTTGGTCGGCCCTGTCAGCCTGCAGCAGGAATCTCACCATGTCCTCGTCGTTTATCCACACGGCCTGCCACAGGAGCGAGCCGTGCCTGAAATAATTGATCCTGGACGCCTTCCCGAACGCCACCTTGAACTCCCGGAGCAGCTCGAGCGCGCGCGTGCTGCGCGCGGCAAAGCAGAGGGGCGCGACCAGCTCCGCTTGCTCTTTGCCGCACCTCTCGACCTGTTGGCGTGAAGGAACCGGGTCCTGAGGAAACCGGGTCCTGGACCCCGGGGGCCTTCCCTCAAGATCAGTTCTTCGCGCTGACTCGTTTTCTGAGAGCCCATAGCGGGCCCCGCGAGCCAGCAAACAGCGCAAAACCTCAGGACCCGTTTCCCTCAGGACCCCTTTTCCTTCATGGCGAGGCCTTGTACGTCGCTTCCGCGTCAGCCCCTCTTTCCACGAGCCTGGTGCAGATGTCGGCTGCGATGTCGCCGCTGACATCCGCGGACACGGCCTGCTCGAGCTCCTGTAGCGCGAAGAGCAGCACGGTCCCTGTGAGCGGCTTCGGGTTGCTCGTGTGCCGGAACTTTCGCCGGTGCTCCAGCACCCGGCTCAACCAATTCCTGCCCCCGCGCTCACGAGACTGCTCCTCGATCTTGCGCAGCTCGGCCTCCACCTGAGCGGCGAGACGAGAAAGGGGTCTCACGCGAGAGGGCAGGGCGGCCCTGGAGAAAGGTTGGAGCAATGCTGGGGAGCACATGTTGGAGCAATGCTCCCATGCCTTTGCATGCACATGATCAGTAGTCAGTTTGGCCCAGAAGAGCCCCGCAAGGGACGAAACGTCAGCCCGACACTGACAAAATAATGGCATCAGTGAGGGGCAACGATTGGGGGGACCTGGCATAGGGGAGAAACATCGATCTGAAATCGGCGATACAACGCCGATAGATCGGCGATCGCCCCCCTATAGCAGGTCCCCACGTTCCTGGGCGTGGCGGGGCTATTGGGCCCTATCGGCGAGTGAACGAATAGGGGTTGATGCATTCCCCACTGTGCCTATCCCCCCCTATCGCTGCCCCTGAATCAGAATTTGGAATCTCATCCTGCCTTGTGCATCTGAAAAGAAACAGCTTGGGGAGCTGGCGGGGAACGCGCGGGGAGAGCAGCGTTTTTGTTTGCACGCGCTGCTCTGGCGCAACTGCTTGCGTCCACAGCGAGGCCATCAATTCGCCTTCCAGTCCGCGAGTCCA